AAGACGCAGGTGTTGAAGGCTGACCAAGCAGTACTCTTGCAAGTTGTTCATATTTACTCTCCAACTCATCCATGCGTTCACATTTGTTCTCTAACTCATCCATGCGTCTTTTTAGTTATTCATTTTCTTTTTCACGTGCATTCAATTTATCTAATAATGCAGCCTTTGAAGAGTTCCCGCCTTTCAACTCTTGAGTCGTTATCCCGCCACCAAATCCAATTACATGACTCTTACATTGAGGTCCAAACACTTTTCTACGACCTCAATATTTGTAAGAGAAGAATCAGATTGAACCAATTTTTGGATTTCAGCCTATAAAATACAACAAAACTTAAAATAATACAACACATAAGGTTGAATGATTTAAAATAAAATTTAACACAAAACATACATATTTTGCATTTGTTTCAGGTTCGACAAGCTAGTTATCCTTCTTACGAGTCTCGAAGAAGATAGTATCCATGTTTGGTGGCTTACCATCTTTACCTCCCTTAACATATAAATAAACAAGTCAAATAAATCATTTTAGCAAACAAGAGACTTCTTAAATAGTTACAAAACCTACTTACCAATTCATAAATCATTTCTCTAATAGGCTTACTCCCCGTACGATGAGGCATACTCAACTTAGACCTGTTGACAGTGTTTCTTGTACTTGTTTCATATAGTCACAACATACCATAAAAATTATAGTTAGTCGCTTCAAATAACATGTTAATAAATAAATACGATGGAGTTGTACCTTAAACTTGTCAGTTAAGAAATGCTCCTTAACCAGCCATTCCCAATCACTCTTATCTACCCCTCTTGGCACATCTTTTAGAGCATCACAAAATGGCTTAGACTTCATATTCTTGTGAAGTGATCCTCTCCAGTTATTCCACAACCTTCTCATAGGTTGAAGGACATGTTCTTTCTTAGCATTCATGTCGTCACAGCTAAATTTATCCTACAATATTTCACATGTACCATTAAGCATAAACTCAAATTTTCAGCCAAACTAGAAGTCAATTGAATCTATATTTCCTGCTTATGGCACTCTTCCAGTGGAAAGTGATATATATGTCATGAGAAATGAGTGATTATCCAGAGGATTGTATCAAGAGAAAGAAGGAAAAACATAAGAGAGATCAAGAGAGCAGATTACACAAACTACAACAGCAACATATAGGTTATTAGGAAAACATAACTATATCATTACATAGATAATGTTTGGCATAAAATGTGCCACGTTAGTTTTTCTCTTTCATGATGAGAAGTCAGCAATGAAGCTATTAGCTATAGCTCTCTAAATAATTATCATAACATCCCACATGTTTGGTATAAAATGTGCCGTGTTAGTGTTACTTTTTCCAGATGAGAAGTCAGAAATGAAGCTATAACCTAATAGCTCTGTAACAGCATCTCAAAGGTTTGGCATAAAATGTGTCGTGCTAGTTTTACTTTTTCCAGATGAGAAGTCAGAACTGATGTTATTAGCTAATAGCTCTCTAAATACTTACCTTAATAGCATCCCACATGTTTTGCATAATTATAGCTCATTAATTTTACTTTTTAGATATGAGAAGTCAGATATGAATTTAATAACTCTATAAATACTTATAGTCACAGCATCCCACATGTGTTCTAGCTGATCTTCTTTAATGTCTGTCCATGAGTGTACCCGTAATGAACACATATTACGATCACGAATTAAAATACCCAAGTGTCTCACAAATGAGGCATAATTTTTTACAACAACTCGATTTTGGTAAAAAGTGATATTTAACTTTTCTCCAGGTTTGAGTCGTGCAACATTTTTACAAATGTTTGTTCCTCTAACTTTTTTTGCATTTTCAGACTCACATGCACTTGCAAATTAATTCAGATCGGACATAAAGAAGAGTTTCATCACACCAAAAACAACAAAAAAATACAGCTTGAGACAGTAATACTTATTTCATTTGTTTGAGCATCTTGCATCAGTTCAATTTTTGGAGAGCAAGGAACAATATCTTCTATTGGATCAAATCCAGGAGGTACAGGAAAAATATTTTGTACTGAATCATTTCGATAAGATGTTGATGGACTGATGTTTAGACTTTTGTTGATTGGAGTTCTTTTTTCAGCCCTTACTCTTACAGAGCCTAAAGATCGTAAGCTTTTCCTATGTCCCCTAATTTCTAAAGCACCAGGTGGAAAGTATGCAAGTTTATTAGGCTTGATAGTTGATTTCATTCCAGAGTTTTGAATTTTTGATGGATCCATGTAAGCCTAATACAAAAATCACTTCTTTGTTAGTTCATCCAATAAGAGAAAAGTCATTGAACAAGTTTTCAATACTACATCCCTTTCTTTATTTGAAAAGTAAAAGTATTTTATTTATCAAAGAAATTAAACTGTACAAAGACTGTGTAGGTACAACTACCAAAAAAAGTGAGCATCAAAGGATCACAACCACTTAAGACTAGCTTCTGGAATGAAAAATGACATGAAGTTGACATTTCGAAAGTGGTTAATTTCCAGATATCTACAACCTAACTAATCTTCATCTCAAAAAAGTGACAGGGATGTGGTCAGCCCAGGAATAGAATATCAGTTTCAGAAGATGGATATTATGAAAGAAGCTTTGACAAAGAGAAACAATTAATTACAAGTCACTCAGAATCTGCGCATAAAATTCCAACAAGCTTCAAAGTTTTGAAGCACAATTTACATGTAAATAAAGAATATTACGTTACTACTAATAAATAGTCCATCTATAAGCACCGACTAGAGAATCATGAAGAAAAATACTTGAAAACAGAAACTATAACATCAAGAGTACTTTTAGGATCAAATTCAACACAATAAATGAGAACTCAGAAATAAAACATGAATACAAAGTCACAACTGCCTCCTAGATTCTTTGAAGCTTTGCCGACTCATCATCCTCTTTTCCATCAACATCAAAAAATCACGAGCTTGAACCTTTTTTACAATATGCCAGCCATTATTTGCAAGATCATCAGCATAAAACACTTGTGATGCTTGATTGGCTAATATAAAAGGCTCATTTATTTTCATAAATCGCTTGCAGTTGACACTTACAAAGTCATATTCATCTACTTTAATTCCCCTTTGTTGATTATATACGTCAAACCACATACATCGAAATAAAACCACTCTTCTCCCACCAGTAAATTGTAATTCAAGAATCTTAGTTAACTCTCCGTAATAATCAATATTTTTATTCTCTTCATCTGTCTCACCAACTACAACCACCCCACAATTTTGAGTTCTCAAACCTTTATCATGATCTCGCATATGAAACCTATATCCATTAGTAACATAGCTTTTTAAACATGTCACATATGGAAGAGGACCACGTGACAATGAGAGCAATTCTTTTATTTTCTTACTCTCATCGTGTTTGTGCAATTCCGCAACCTATCAAATTTTAGTACATTGTTTAGAAAATATTATTCATAAGTTGATTTAATATATACAAATGCTTAACTACTCACCTTTATTTTTAACCAACTAATGAATTGTCTATTCCATTCGATCTCTGAATGATTTTTGGATGTTTCAATTGAAATTTGTGAAAATTCTCTGCAAATAATTTGAAGTATAACATGTCATTTTATGTAAGGATATGGAAAATATAAGAGTAACTTATTTGAATGAGTCATTACTTACTCGAGAAATGGTTGAATTTCATCACAGTTCTTCAAAATATAAAAATGTGCAAGCTCAAATTCACTTGAATCAAGATTGCCTGGTTTTCACCCCTCAAACTTTTTCCAGGTTGAGAAAAAATTTCTAAACCTCCATCAGATTCAATAGAACCACCATCATAATTCCTTTCATGGCGATTAAATTTTGTCTCCATAGTATGCAAATACCTTGAACATAAGGTCATACATTCAAATGCTATATATCCTTGTGCAATACAACTTTCTGGGCGAGCCATGTTACGAATAAATGATTTTAGAAAGTATAGCCATCGCTCCACCGGATACATCCATCGATATTGGATAGGTCCAGCAATCTTAGCTTCATTAGCTAAATGAATTGGCAAGTGGACCATGATATCAAAAAATGCAGGAATGAAGACTATTTTCTAACTTGCACAAAGTTATTGGAATTTGGGCTTCTATTTGCTCTAGCTCATCTACTCTTAAACATTTTGCTCCGAGTATCTTAAAAAATATTGACAACTCAATAAGTGGTTCAAGCATAGATTTGCAGAGCATACCACGTAAAGCAAGTGGAAGTAAATGTTGTAGAATAACATGGCAATCATGGCTTTGTAATCTTGAAAGTTTCCGATCTTTAAGGTTGACACACTGAGAAATATTTGATGAAAACCCATCTGGGACATTTAAATTCTTTAAGGAAGTGAAGAATTTGTGCTTCTCTGTAGGAGATAATGTGTAACTTGCCGTAGGTAACTCATATTTATCTCCTCTCTCTATCGGATGCAATTCCTTCTTTATGTTCATTGCTTGCAAATCCAATCGAGAATTCAAGGTGTCTTTGGTTTTTCCTTTGACATTTAAGATTGTCCCCAAAATATTATCACAAATATTCTTCTCAATGTGCATCACATCTAAATTATGTCGCAACAATAGAGTATTCCAATATGGAAGAGCAAAGAAAATACTCTTCTTGTTCCAATTATCACCCCTATTCTTGTGTGATATTTTAATCTTCTTCCTTGGATCCTTTGTTTGTTTTAGACCTTCTAAATAACCTATTTGATCAAGTATATCATTACCAGATAACGTTTTTGGCAGTAATCTTTGCTCATTTGTGCCATCAAAGGAATCTTTATCTTTCCTCCATTTGTGATTAAGAGGAAGAAAGTGTCTATGATGCATATAACACTGCTTTTGACCATTATCCAACCTAATTGAAAGAATTTCTTTATTGCAACACGGGTAAGCCAATTTTCCTTTGGTACTCAGTCCTGAAAAATTTTCATATGCTGGAAAATCATTAATGGTCCATAACAAAGCTGCATGTAGCATAAAATGTTATTTAGCTGACGCATCAAAGGTCTCAACTTCAGTTTCCCATAATTCCTTTAATTCATCTATCAAAGGTTGGAGATACACATCAATTGCATCCCCGGGACTTTCAAGACCAGGAATAAGCATCGCTAAAATAAAATTTTCTTGCTTCATGCATAACCTAGGTGGCAAATTATAAGGAATAAGTACCATAGGCCAAATTCTATATGGAGTTTTCGAATTTTTAAATGGTTGAAAACCATCACTAGCAAGTCCAAGTAGAACATTACGAGGCTCAATACCAAAAGATGGATGAAGTTCATCAAGTCTCTTCCATGCAACTGAATCAACTGGGTGCCTCATTATTCCATCAGCAACTCTTTCATCATGATGCCATCTCATCAAAGAAGATGTTTTTGAGGACATAAACAATCTCTGAAGTCTTGGCTTTAGAGGAAAATAATGTAAAATCTTGCATGGTATTTTTTTACCACGTTTAGATTGTGTTTCCCCATTGCATTGATTCTCCTTCCATCTAGATGCGCCACACACTTTTATTAATTCGAGAATCTTATCATCCTTCCAGTATAACATGCAACTGTTTTTACACGCATCTATATTCTGATAAGAAAGTCCAAGATTTCGAATTACCTTCTTTGCCTTGTAATATGAATCTGGCAAGTTTGATCCATCAGGCAATAAATCTGCCTTTAGCATCTTCAACAACATTGTGAATGAAGCATTACTCCATTGGCTAATACTTTTAATATGAAGTAACTTAATCAAAGTAGAAAGTTTTCTTTCTTTCGAACCAGCATATAATGGTTGTTCATAATCATTTAATAGGCCGTAGAATCGTTTTGCTTCAGGATTTGGTTCTTCCTCAACAAAATCATCACTGTTAGTGTTCATATTCTCTTCAATGAAATCAGGGTGTAAATCCCTTAAGAGCTCATGCATTTCATCCTCATCATCATCATTTTCAATGTTATTGTCCTCTACGAATTCAAAATCTGACTCTGGCTGACCTAACCTCCCCTCGTGATGATACCAAAAAGTATAACTCTGAATTATTCCATACACTAATAGATGTGACCTAACCATCTCATGAGTTTTGGAAGATTCATTACAACACCTGATGCATGGACAACGTATTTCTTGTGTTTCTCCCAATTTTGTAAAAGCATAATCCAAAAATTTCTCCACCGCAATGATGTAAGCATTATCAAGTCTATCTTGAACAAGTTGCATCCATTCCTTATTAGGTGCCATAATCTTCATTCAACAAAATATATTATAAATAGACCAACATAAGTAAGAACTAACCATTTATTGTTAAAAAGTTGAAGAAGACCTCTTTCTGAAAGATTCTAGGTAAGTTTCAGAAAACTGATTATGTGATTTTTAATTAGTTATTTGTATAGTGATTGCTCCAATTATAAATGTACACTTTGTTCATGTATATTTACAGAAGTCAATAATTATTGGGAAGTGAAATAAAATCCAGAGATATTTAACATTAGAGCGATGTTTCAGTTATAACTTTTGAGATAGATGATGGAAATATATATGGATAATATATAGAATAGTAAACACATGTTTCTGAGTGAGAAGTGCAGTGAAGATGACATGAAAATAGTATAAATCAAGAAAGGTGTGATTCTTAGATGATGCATCAAAAAAACAAATGCTAAGAGATTTAAGAGACTTGATACATCACTATTCTCTTTTGTAAGAACAATAAATATTCATCATTTTAATAACTGATTAACTAGCTAGCTAATATTACTAGTCAATTTAATTACTATCAATCACTTAAGAAAGACTTACAATTACATTTTATCTTTATATGTATCTTAAAATTGTTTCACTCTTTTAGATAGGAGGCTCAAAGGTTCAGAGATTATATTACTTTGCTGAGATTATCGAAACTCTTTACAATTTGTAGATTGTCATTTAGCACTTATCCAGATCTTTAGGCCTTTGTTACTAACTCTGATCTGTTTACTTTCGGTTATTACCATAAGAGGATGCAATTTTAATACCTAACATATCATTAGTAATAACAAATCCTCAAATGCTAAGATTATTAGTTTCTTACCTTATTCCTTGTGAAGAATTTTTTTTATATCTCTAATGCTCGCTATGGAGTAGGACTTCGGAAATATATTAGCAAGTTGGGTAATGAATTTTCCAAAAGGTATGGTTCAATTCAGGTAATGAAGAGCATGTCAAATTTTGGAAAGATAAATGGCTTTGAGAAACACCTTATCCTGGCTTATATGATATTGAACTTCACAAGGTCTTCTCAATTGCCAAAAACTGGAGCAACAACATCTGTAATGTACATTTAAGAAGACACCCTCAAGCCTAGGAGTTAGAGGGCTTGCTGGAAATACTAGCCAAGGTGGAAGCTTCCAATAGTGATGCAAATATTCCGGACAGAATGACTTACAGAAGTTTATTTTGGCATTTGGAGCTTATTTTTCAACATTTTTGGATTGAGATGGGTTACCTCAGGTTTAGATAGAGGCATATGTGAGTTGGAGTTGTTGGAAAGTTGATAAGACCATCAAGAACACCTTGTTGATGATCTCTGCTGCTATTTTTGGAGCCTTCAGAATGAGAGAAATAGGAGGTGGTTTGATGAAAAATATTGTCCCAAATAACTACAAGCCATCATCTTATCCTAGTTTATATGATATGGAACTTGACAAGGTCTTCTCAATTGCAAAAAACTGGAGCAACAACATCTGGAATGTACATTTAAGAAGACACCCTCAAGCCTAGAAGTTAGAAGGCTTGCTGGAATTGGTAGCCAAGGTGGAAGCTTCCAACAGTGATGCAAGTATTCCGGACAGAATGAATTACAAAAGTTTATTTTGGCATTTGGAGCTTATTTTTCAACATTTTTGGATTGAGATGGGTTACCTCAGGTTTAGATAGAGGCATATGTGAGTTGGAGTTGTTGGAAAGTTGATAAGACCATCAAGAACACCTTGTTGATGATCTCTGCTGCTATTTTTGGAGCCTTCAGAAATGAGATAAACAGAAGGTGGTTTGATGGAAAATATTGTCCCAAATAACTCAAAGCCGTCATCTTAAAGCTAGTTTTAGTTCTATCCTGTTTTGGACAAAATTGTCCCCATTAACTAGTTCAGTACAACTCAAGGATTTTATTAGTTCCTTACTTCTTGATTGATTTCGTATCAAGTGATAGGTGAATTGAGAGAGGATAGAGGATCACGCTTACAAGCAGTCGTTTCATCATCATTAGCTGACCCGACATATATTTGGGTCAAACAAAACAGAACACTAGTGTTGAGCAGTGACGACGAAAGACTATATTTCTTCTTTTAACACGTGTCACTATTGAATAAATTCTCAACTTTTATGAATTTTCCTATTAAATATATAATAATTAACAAAAGAAGATTCTGTAAATATCATATTATTATACAGTCGCAGCTAAACACCTAAGAACCGTTGAAAATACTTAATCATCTATTAGCAGTAGCTAAAGTAGCAGGTTAGCAGGTAAAGCAACAGCTAAATACCTAACAACAGCTGCTAGCAACAACTAAGTCGACACCCCAGGCCAACAACATGTTGTATACTTTATTTTTTTTAAAACACATAGTAGTTTGTAGGCACTAACAGAAGATATCAAGTTATGACAATAATACAAGTTTCAATAGTCCATCAGCTCAGACACAAAGAAACAGAGGGTACACATTATGCAATAGATAAGAATACTAGTTAAACATCTAACAAAAGTGATGTGGATGTCTTAGGGAAGCCTAAAAATCAATTGATCAGTGTTAGTACAACTATCATTTCTAAGCAGAGACACAAAATAGTGGAGCAGGGAAATAAACAGTGAACTGTTGCTGAATTTCGTAAAGACAAGGAACTAACAGTTCATATTAGAGGCTATAATTTTTTCCATTTTCTTTTCCTCTTGTCCTGCAACAGTTGTAAACTTCTGTTCAAAGCCTAAAAATGAAATGTTTGTCAATTTTTGTTGGTAACAGTTTAGTGTTCGAGTTACTCACCCTCTTTTATGAACTTAAACTTTCTTTACTACACAGCTTACATCCACTAATAATTGAAATTTACGGTACATAAGTTATTGATATTTTTCATGCTCTTACTCACTGTTTGGCTCAAGTTCTATATGACTATAAGTGGATCCTCCATCAACTATCTAACTCGACAAAAGTACACAAAGTGGACCACTCGCACACACAACAAGTAAGGATGGTGAAAATATCAATATGAATAATATATATATATGTATGTATATAAGTTCAAGAACACCAAAAAAAAGAACGAAAAAAACCCAGATGAAACCCATAATTGGGAAAAACCTAAGATTGAGAAAAACCTAAAATCGAACAAAATCAAGCATTCCACAAAGCAATTCATAGTTATAATAAATAAATCATACTTGGAAGATATGGAAACACCAAGATAGGGTCTGAATAATGTCAATTGAAGCAAAGTCACAACAAGTCGTAAGAAGAGAAAGACGATTTTGTTGTTCTGCAATCAAACAAAAGAGATGCAGATCATCTTTTTATAACGTTTAATAGAGAAACGTGTGTTACTGTATATTCTAATTTTCCTCTAACAAACCTTGGAGAGACACACCTAATTAGATCTCTGCTTAGCTGATTTTATTCAAAGAGAACATGGGAGAGAAAGTGCTTGCGGAATTTCCTCCAACGATTTTTGATTTTTAACTATCGCTCCATTGACTATAGATGCTGAGAAAATTGAGCTTTTTTTTTCACTTCTAGAGAGAAAAAGATGGCAATGAGGAAATTTTACACAGGACTCTATGTTTTCTTTTCGGAGAAGTGGGAGAGTGGTAACACGTGTGTAGTGGAAAAATAAGGAAATAATGAAACTAAAATTTCAATACTTTTTTTAGTATATAAATAATTAACAACTTGATATAAATACTTTTAACGTCTGGATATTATACTAACTCTAATTATATTAAATAAAAAATGGACCTTTAACGACTGGAAAAAAAATGTGTCGCTATAAATACACTTTTAATGATCGGATTCATATCCCTTCATTAACAAGTGGTCGTTAAAAGTACAATTTCTTGTAGTTACTACTCCAAGTTTGAAGGCTTATAAAACATTCCATTAATAAAGATATACAAGATATAAGCAAAATATAGCTACTACTTTTTCTCTCTTTTTCTTTCTTTGTTATTTTAGTTTAATATTCTCCTTTTATTTTATAACACGTTATCAGCATGACACTCTAATTTTCTTGAAAAAATTATATTTCTATCTCAACCAAGAATTATATGCTCCATGTGAATGTGATAGCAATAAATTAAAAGTCTGAAAGATGACAATATGACTTTATGGTTGAACATATGAATATAGACATAAAGGGACAAAATAATAATAGTCATTGTTATAATAATAAAAGAAAGAACATTACGAGTTCTCAAATTGATCCTTAGAAGAGTGAAAATATTTTTTGTCATCAAATTTGATATGAAAGGTATTAGGCAAACGGTTGATATGTAACCTAATAATTTGATAAATCTATAAATCCTTCATCTAAAGAAATGAAAGTAAAGTGATGGTACACTTGACCTTCAAAGTGATGTTGAGATGTGTCATATAAATATGATAAATGTCAAGATATGACAACAAACTTATAATGAAAAATTATGTAGCATGTATATATGATTATAGTCAATCCCTTGACGAGAATATGACTTGTGATAAGTATCAACAAACCTTTGATCATTCTTGAAGTGAATGTGTCAGCATATAATGAAAATTTTGGATAATGTCATGCTCATGTATGATTGGATAAATATCAGTGCTCACCTCTACGGAAGGTTTGAGAGAAATAATGTAATGATTTTGACCATGACAATGATGATATATATTTCTCCTTGAATGAGATGTTCACCATACAGACAATGTTATGAAATATGTGGTAGTATCCAATATTAATTGTAAGCTTTGGTAAGCTAGTATGCTACTACCCAAATAAATAAAATTACTCATGATATTGGAATTATAGTAAGTCTCAAAAGAAACTTTTTAAGTTTCAAAGAAATAGTCAAGAAAAAATTATATTGAGACTATAAAATATGGAAAGATTTAAGATCTTCATTTATTCAAAGCGGGTTATAAACATTTATGTGAAATATTAACCATGTTTTCATGTTGTTTGTGGTAACTAAGTATGGGCATGATGATGGAATCACATGAAAAACAAAGTAGAAG